TTCACCCCCATACCTCCACCACCATGCTGTAGAGAGTGCAAATCTGGACCCAAACGCTTTGCTTGTATGGTATTTTGCTACTGTGGTTCAGTACCTAAGTGAGTGAAATGGAGAAACAACTTTTTCTGCTCCCTCACCTACAGTAACCCAACCTGGCCTCACTGAAGCCTCTTCTTATCATGAGAATTTATGACATGGCTCATTTATTAGGGAGATCCTTAGTCTCAGGATAGGTTCTACTGAGGCCATGACCCTTCTTAGGGGGACCGCATTCATGGCCTTACGCGCATGGCATCCTCATACCCAACTTCTCTACAGATACGCCCACAGAAGATGAACACAGACGCTCTCTCCTCCTCACGCAGTGACACACATTTATAGATATACATAGACAAACAAACAGAATCATTCGCAGCTCCTCAGCCATGCAGAAATACACACACTCATATATGGCGACACATACATATGTATGCAAATATACTCCCTCTCAACCCAGGCTTTCATGAAGATATTTCTTTCTTTCTCTTATATTAATAGTCATGCTGGTTCCAAAACAGTCAAATGCCCAGTGGTAGATAAGTTGAGAGGGTATCTGTCTTGGCAGACAGAAGTGGGTGTCGAGTGGGTGAGCAGACAAATGACTGGGAGAAGGTGGTAGCTGAGTGAGAATGGGTGGGTGGATGACAGAGTGACTGAGTAGGAAGAAGGGCAAGTAATCAACTCTGATAAGATTCTAGAATATCATATTTTCCAACCTTTTAACTCTCGTTGTGGCTTTCCTTTGAACATTCTCCAAGTCTCCTATCTCCTTTCTCTTTGTCTAGCAATCTTTAGCTCTCTCTGTCTCAGCCTCTCTTTCTGTGTGTGGGGGGGCGGGGTGGTGAGTGTGTGTGTGCGTGTGCGTGCGCTTTACTTTCCCATAACGAAAAGCTTACTGTAGTGCCAGGTAATATTTTATAACAACAAGATCCCTGGTATGTAAATGTAACTGCATTTAAGAATTATTTGTAGTAATGAATTTGTGGAAATGTAATGAGAAAAAGAAAATGTGCTTGTTTATTCCTTTCAGGAAATTCCTCTATTCCCCCTGGTTTTCATCAGCTATATTTTTGGCAGGCTATGGGCATGGAAATGTGAAGACATCACTCTCAAAGAGAATTATAATAATTGCATCTGATTTATACAGATGTCACCATAGGGTTAAGCAGTTGGAAAATTCAGCGATCCAAATGAATAGGCACTTAAAATTAAGGACATGCCATACTTCTAACACTCTGGTTTTTAACATTATCAGTAGTCCACAGAAGATTTTTTTTTTCAGACCTCTAAAGTAGTCACAATGGCAAGACAGATTTATATCTTACAAGATGAGAGCTAAAGCAAGCTATAGACGCTGGTGGTATACCTCCTGCAGATCCGTTATAAAGGTTCCATTCACTTGGATGTCTTGAGCATATACTATATGTGCAAGGCACTAAGGAGGATACTGAAGAAATAAAAGACATTGTGCCTGGCCTCAAAGAATTTATGGGATAGTTGGGGTGTTTTGGAGTGGGCCTTGTGGGGTTTTAGCTGGGGACTAAAGAACGGGTAGGATTCCTAAGCCGGTCAAGAAAAGAGCATGGGTCAAAGTTAGGAGGCAACAAAGAGAAGGAGTGGTGTGTTGAGCAGACAGTTAGGAGGCTAGTCTGGGCAGATGAAGGTAGCATGTCTGAGAGTGGTAGGGGGAAAGACGGAAGGGCGGCATGCGAACCAAGTCGTACGGGACTTAGAACATCACGTTGTGATCTGTCATCAATACAGAGCCACTGAAATTTGACCTCTTTTTATAAAGCCAACATTTATTAATGCAATAGTATCGATCTTTTCCAAGGGGAGAAACTCGCGGCCAATGAAAACTCTTATCATGTGAAGCATTTTTATAGAAATACGGCACATATCATGAGCTAAGAATATATATTGGGACTGGTAAGTGGCAAGAGAAGGGATGGAGGAAATAACGACTCTGATAGGCCTTTCTACTGTAATAACTGCCGTGAACAAAGTTGTTCTTTGCAACTGAAGAATTAATTGAACCACTAGTGGACTTCGGAAGGGCATGTACTTAGAATGGACAACTAAATAAGGATAATAAACCATAGTAAGTATCCCAAACCCTCTAATCTGGATTGAGCACATGTTAAGAAGACAGGCTGGCTTCTGGTTATTCTGACCTTTTGTCTTATAACAGTGTGTTTATTCTTTATTGAACAAATAAATACTAGAGACTACTAATCCTACTCAGGGAGGTTAGTACAGAAAGGGTATTTATAAAGGCCAACAGTAAGGCTCCAGAACCGAAAAGAACAAATAAACCCCATTTCACTTGCTGGCCAGAAAGTAAAACCCCTAGACGTCTGTACTATCCCCCTTCCCCTTCTCCTGTAGGACTCCCATGCTCCCCTCATGGCCAGAAGAGTATGCTCCAGGCCATCTCCCCCATAACTTCTGACAACCAGTTTTCTCCTTTCTCCTTGGGGAAGAATCCAGCAGATTAAGGGGATAATCCTAAATGCTTTTAAATTAAAATTAACCCAAAGAAGTGAGAAAATGTGACACTAAAAGCCAGACCTCCTCTCTGCTTCATGTGGAGAATAGCCTTTACACTTGGAAACCAAACCAAAGTGATCCCCACACATCCAACACACACACACACACACACACACACACACACACACACACACACAGCACCTCTCCCTCTCCAAAGTCCAAGATGTTCCAGACAACATAACAAATCACACGGTTGGGAATGATTCATATGTTTCCACTCTCGGTCCAAAAATGAGCAAAAAAAAAAAAAAAGTTTCCACTTAATTTATAATCAGAATTTTCTGCGCATTTCCTAAAAAAATTAAAGGGGAACAATTCAAAAATCTGGCTTTTCTTTCTGCAAAAATTACTGATTAGTTACAGACTAAAGTATCTTTTGGTAAAATACTTTTGTGCTCCATCCAACCCTGGAGACTAGGACTATGGCTGTGTGGTGCCAAATATCTAATCAGTCATCCAGTGTTTTCATGTTTTCGGATGTTTTCAAAAAGCTGGTGTTCTGCAGATACAGGCTTATTCTATCCAGTCTTTTGTTATCTCAGTCGTACATATGGATACAGAGTTTTCTGTTTGGAGTATTTCTCAAGGCCAATGCCTTATTATAGTTCCAACACCTGCAAATATTTGGCAGAGATTGCTCCATCCTCTCCATATCCCCCCTCTTCCCACAGCCCCACCCCCACCTCTGGCCATTATGAAGCTGTAAGTTTATAGAGTATGTCCTTTCCTTGATGCTGGTAATCGTTTATCTGTGACCCATGAAATGTGCAATTGCCAGAGCGTAAAGTTAAGTTTCAAATCACATTTCATGGGCAAAACTTAGGTCCAAAACAAAGCGGCGGCAAGCCACAGCCGAAAGGATACCTAACGCGGGGTCTAGAAGCTTAGTTCCCGTTCCAATTCTGTGACTTTGACCAAATCACTTAACCTCTCAAAGTCTTAGTTTATACCACATTACAGTGTAAGGCTTCAGCTAGACCAAGTCTAGCTGGCTTAGCGTCTTAGGCGTCTAAGAACTGAAGGCAATCAGATCATTCCTCGCTGCAGTTTTGAAGTGAATGAGAATATCACCTTGAGTGAAATCCACAAACACTGAACTTTGTACAAATTTGTAAATATTAGCTATAAATAAAAAATCAAAGAAGGCCCAAACCATTGTCAGCTTGCAACAAATTACGGGAGGGGAAAATATATCCTATTCAGAGTATTGCTACCTCCCCCAACCCCATGAAATCTTCAGATAAGTTACCGTGGCTTGTTCAGGGCATGGCAAGAGGAAAATCCCCACTTCCTTCTTGCCCTCCTTCCATCCGATCTGGGTCTTCCTTCCAGCTCGGCTTCTATAGCCAGTCCCTATTGGGGGTGGTCATCTTGTCAGTCATTTAAACATTTTATTTTCCTGGAATTTCTGCTAAATAGCTCCCTTCTTAAGAGCAGTTAAGCCACAGAGCGGGCAGGCAACGGGAATAAAACAATTTTCCAGAGCTGACGTTTGTTAACATCAACGTGAGGCAGGATGGTCTTACAAAATGGGCACTTAGCCTTGCGCACAAAGATTATATGGCATGGCAACCTCGGAAAACTCCATCCGCGGAACACAAATGGAAGACTGGGAACTTCCGAGGCAGGGAAGTTCAGTCTGCAACCCACAAAAACGAGCACAGGCACGAAATCGGATCCTGGATTCGAGACTGATTGCCTTCGGTTTAAAGTTCTAGTTCAGACATTGGATTATCCCTTCTGACATCGTGGTAAACTGAAGTTCCTTTTTTTTTTTTTTTTAAGGCGGGCTTAGAATTAGCCCCACGTTAAGGGCTTGAGGGCGATTTGTAGCAAGCAGCCAACGCCAGGCCTTTGTTTCTTTAGCATAGGGAGCGAGCAAACACAGACGCTACTGTCCTCCACACAGATCTCTTGCCTACGTACGGATACACTCAGACACCTCCACCCACACCTCCACGGAGACACGCCCAGCTTTCCCCTTGCTCTCCTCATACGCATGCATATCAGCACCTATGCTAATTAGAGTACACCTACACCCGTACTCACATACTTAAAAGAAGAGGTGGAAAGATCACGACAAAGATAGGTAGTGTGCAATCTGCCACTGACAGAGGAGAGAGGGACTTGTTTCCCTGGACGGGCTACTGGTGTGGCGCGTGGGGCCAGGGGCCTGAACTCATCCAGAACTGGCCAGAGGTGAAGGAATGCAAGCAGGTTTATGCAACCGACGAAACAGGTTCCAGTGAGGGCTTGCGAGTAGGTAAGCTATTCCTCGCGAGAGCAACTTGGGGGCTAACGGCCGTGCCACATAGGAAAAGCGGACCTAGCTTCGTTAGGGAACTTGCTACCCATACGGCGGTGTATAAGAGAGACCAAGCTGTTTAAGGGATATTTCCCAGGTCCCTTACCTTGAGTTTCTCAAATCGGTCGTTCAGGGACGCGACCTGATGGTCTCGGTGACGTCCCACCAGTTTGCATAAGGCACAGATCAATTGGTCATCGGATACACAATACATGTTCACTTTCTCGTTCTCGTGGTCCAGGCAGGTGATCCCTCGAAGATGCGTGTCTGGCACTGGTTCCACCAGGCGGTGGCTGGTGAAAGGTTTCTTGTTGGGGTGTGTGGCCCGCAGGCACCGGTCACAGTAGGAGACCTCACAGGTGATGCATGTCTTCACTGCATCCCTTGGCGGGTCCTGCTCACAGAACTGGCAAGCAATTCGCTCACTAGACATGGCCGTGCTGGGCCTGTAAGTCCTCTCCCGGCGGCTCTCACTTGGGGAATTGGGCCCACTGACTGAAGCCTTCTGGAAGCGATCGATAATGTTCTGCAAAGTCACATTCCTCTTGAGGCCGTCCAGGCCCCGGTGGTTCAGCGAGATAACATACCTGCACGTGGGACACTGGAAAGCGGTAATGGGTTCAATGGATTCTCCAGAGCTGCAGCTCGAGACCAGGATGCGGTGGGCACAGCTGAAGCAGAGGCTGTGGGCACAAGGGAGCAGAAGGGGGTCTTCGAACAACTCCAGGCAGATTGGACAGGTCAATTCGGACTCCAGTGTTTCCATCTTTAGTGAAAATAATCCTGCTGGGGCATTAAGAACCACAGAGGCTGGGCTTTCACCTGCGAGGAATACAAAGCAGGAGTCACTAAGCGTCTCCAAAGGAAACCTGGATGCAGAGTGGCTACACACTAACCAACGGAGGCTCTTGCACGCTCGATTCCCCAGTGACGCTGGAGCAATAGGAAAGCGATCCGAGAATTAATCAAAAAGTCTCTCTCCCCCACCCTCCCCCGCTTCAAACCTTGTTTTCAACAAATGCCTGAGTTTATGTTCCTGCACTAATAAACAGAACCGTGTGGCCACCTCTGAATCCTGGTTTACTGGTTAACATTACTATTCCAGCTCACAGTTCCAGCACGGAGCCATCCCTCACATATTGTCCACTGACACTTCTGGTCCTGGACTATGATGAGCCTGAGGCCCTGCGAAATTCTCCATCTCCATTCTCCAATATTGTTCTGTATTTTACTTCAAGGTAAAATACAGGGGCTGCGCCTATTCTACATCCAGTGGAAGGAAAATAAGGCCATATTTCAAACTAACTCTCTCCTTCTTGAAATGACTCCATTCTGAGAGCCTGTGTAAAAAATAAAGAAGAGAGGGCTTTGGAAAAATGGACTTCTCAGCATAGAATAATAAGTTCTTCAGAGTGTGAACCTTAATTACTTCCTGTTACCACTCATGGAAATTCCTGCTCTACCCTGTTTCTAGTAAGCTGAGTTACTAGAGACAAATGGTGCTAGTTTGCACTTCCTTCCCTCACCTTTGGCAAGCTCTTCATCTCATCAAGCTCAATGAGAAGGGACTATGACTTTTCAACTTACTCAGCAATAGTTGCTGATCAATAATGAAGATGTATTACCTTGTGGTTTTGGCTGGGTTTTATTATTACACACCCACTGAACTAGCACAAGCCTACTATGAAGCACACCTCCCCATGTGTCTTTTCACCCAATTAACATGAAACTAATCTCTTGGTCAATCTATCTCTTCTCCCGCAGACATTTCTGAGCTGAACATAATAGATACTGCCATGGGTCTTCCGTTAATTAAAATCAACACAGATAAATGTTCTAAGCTAGCCCTAACTGAGGAAAAATATGTCTTATTGACAGAAAATGTTAATCCTATTTATAGAAAAGAGAAAACCGTCTTTGGTTTTTGAATAATTTTTGTTCATCAGCTCACTATCATTGGAGACCCTCATCAAGGCTTGAAATTTCGATTCTGCCACTGAGTAAGTACAACAGATGCATCCCTAAAAGCTGTTTCTAAATCAAACCTTTAAGTGCACTAAACTAACTAGCTATTTAATGGAAATCTATAGGAAACTGGGCTGTAAAAGTAGAGTCTTTTTTTTTTTTTTTTTGTAAAACAGCCACTGTCGGTTGGGTAAGTTCAGATGTTTGTATGACCACTTTTTTCAAATGTGAGACACATGGTTAGTCTTAGTTTACGATTAACGAGTGCCTCAAAATTGTTGGCTGGCCACATGTGGCTTCTAATATCTATCAGCATTCACCTATAGAGATGAAAAAGTAAAACAATTACAATGTGCATATATCACAGACTCTTAAAATTGGAAGCGACTCTAGTTAGAGATGATGGATACCAACTTTTGCTCCAGGCAGGAATATATCCTTTGATAGCCCCACTGCTCAAATTCAACAAGTCCATAAATGGCCTTGTTATTCACCCCCCCCCACCGGTCCCCACCACAAAAACCCCAAACACCTGCTCTCCTTCCAGTTTTCCCTATCTGGTGAATATCGCTATCCAAGCCTACAAATCTAGGAGTTCGCTCATTTACATGTTTATCGCCACAGCCACTGATGGCTTCCAGAACATTCTGTTTTATTTCATTTACATATCTGTGTCTTCAGCTAACTCTCCCTGCCTCTTGAGGGCATCAACTATTTCACAGTTTTATTCAGAGCCTCATACATACATAGGTATTCAGTAATTGTTAAATGAAGGATCCCATAAAGTAGAAGAAGTCAGAAGAAGGGACCCAGCATTTATTGAGCACCTCCTGTATTCTGAGTACTGTTAAGCCCTTTACACACATTCCTTCATTAAATTCTGTCAAGAAGTCTGTAAGGAAGGAACTACCATGCCCATATTACAGTTAGGAGACTGGGGCTCAGCACTGCTAAGTAAATCAACCAGGAACATACATACCCAGGGCACTGGGTCGGTCTGATGCCAACGCCTGTACTCTTTCCCCTACACCTTTATTTCAATCATCTCACCTCCTTCACTGAAGTTTATCTTGACTATATGCAAGAGGGTTTCTAAACAGCATGTTTCCGCTTCTATTTTTGTCTCTCTGTGTCCCCCTGAGTTTCTCTGAAGCTGCCTCCCATTCCGAGTCCCTTCCAGAATCATTATCTTTTTCTTCTAGGCCCAACTCCACCTCACACAGCACTTCTATTACTATCTCTTCCAGGACTGCAAGTGTGCACTCTTCAATGTCCATGTTGGGAGCTACCTGGGAGAGCTGAGGAAGGCCCCCCCCTCCAAAATGACAGTTGGTCAGGAGCATTGCTGAAAGACCTCTACGTGCTGAAACCTATAGAAAAAGAATTAGAGTATTTGTGGTACTCTTCTAAATCTTAGGAGGGTGCCATACAAATTCTTCCGTACAAGAGGAAAAGCTCTCTGAGTTTCCCTGAAACTGTAAATATTGTTCTGGAGTAAGTGGGACACTTGAACCTCACTATGAAATTAGGCTTGGGAAAGTATGCTATGGGTCAGCATTGCTTCAAATAAGGTCAAGATACGACTTTTAACCAGGGATTTCTGAACCTCCTAGAACTGTCTGAAGAACATTGTGTGTTTGTCATACATGCATTGTCATGGGGAGAGGGCTGTCCACAGCATTCAAAATGTTCTCAAAAGAGTCCTTGACAGAAAAAAAGTCAAACACGAGTGCTCTAAAATAACCCACCTTAACTGACTTCAGCTCTATAAAGAATAATATAAGATGGTTCCAATCTGTTGCTTATGGTAACTTTTCTATACTGTTCCTATTCTGTTCTGTTTCATCATTATCTAGCAACTGCTGTAGCCAAGACCAGGGAATTGAATATTTTTTTCAACTTTTCCAAACATCTGTTCATCTCATCTCTCATTTATGAGGCCACCTTGTTCTGGACACTCCTAATATTTCAGCATCCTTTCAACTATCTCCTATTTTTACTACTTCCCTGATTATCTAAGCACATTTCCCCTTAAAATTTATCTGGTATGTACTATGTGCCAGGCACTAAATAATACCCTTTACATGCATTGTCTCATTTAATTTTCACAACGACCCTCTAAAAGGTAGGTAGTAGTATTACCAAAAAAAGGTAACTTGTCCCAGATTACATTTATTTGCAAGTAGCAGAACTAAGATTCAAGCCCAGAATAAGACTGAGAGTCCAGAAATAAACTGATATGCTCGTATGTTTATGGGCAAGTAACTTTTGACAAGGATTCCAAGTCCACTCAGTGAGGAAAGAATAATCTTTTCAACAAATGGTATTAGGACAACTGAATATCCACATGCAAAAAAAAAAAAAAAAAAAAAGGTGATGAAGTTAGAATCCTACCTCACACCATATACAAAAGTTATGTCAAAATAAATCAACAACCTAAATGAAAGTGCAAAAACTTAAAATCTTGGATGGAAACATAGGTGTAAATCTTTGTGAACTTAAATTAAGCAAGGGTTTCTTACATCAAATGCACAAGCAGCCAAAGAAAAAAATAGGTAAATTGGACTTCATCAAAATTTAAAACTTCTGGGCTGCAAATGACAACATCAAGAAAGTAAAAAGACAACCCACAGAATGGGGGAAAAATATTTGCTAGTCACAGATGTGATATGGGTCTAGTATCTAGAAATAAACAGAACTCTTAAAACTCCACAATAAAAAGACCCCAAAAATGGGCAAATGATCTAAATAGACATTTCTCCAAAGACGATATACAAATAAAGGATCAGTAAGCATATGAAAAGATATTCAATATCATTAGCCATTAGGGAAATGCAAATCAAAAGCACACTGAAATACCACTTTGTACTCATTGGGATGGCTCTATTACTACTTCACACCCACTAGGATGACTATAATTTTAAAAAATAGCAAATGTCAGCCAGGATATGGAAAAACTGGAACCCTCATACATTGCTGGTGGGAATGTAAAATGGCACATCTGCTTTAGGAAATAGTTTGGCAATTCCTCAGATGGTTAAATGTGGAGTTAGCATACGACCCAGAAGAACTGAAGATGTGCTCACTCAAAAACTTGTACACAAATGTTCATAGCAGCATCAGTCATAATAGCCAAATGGTAGAAATAACCCAAATGTCCATCAACTGATGAATGGATAAACAAATATGGTACATCCATACAATGGGATATTATTCATCAAGAGAAAGTAATAAAGTACTGATCCATACCACAACATGCGTGAGCATTGAAAGCATTATGCTAAGTGAAAGAAGCCAGTCACCGAAGGTCAAAAATTGTTTGATTCTCTTTATATGAAATGCCCAGAATAGGCAAATCCATAAGAACAGAAAGTAGGTTAGTGATTGCCAAGGGCTGGGGAGAGAGAGGGAAGGGGGGTGACTACTAATGGGTACAGAGTTTCTTTTGGGGATGATGAAGAAAATGTTCAGGAATTAGTGGTGATCGTTGCACAACTTCGTGAATATACTAAAATCCACTGAATTGTACACTTTAAAATGGTGAACATTATGATACATGAATTACATCTGAATTTTTTTTGAAGAAGATTCAAACCCAGGTCTGACCCTGGAGCGTAAACAGATCACTACTATACTATATTGCCATCTATATAACTATGTAGTCATTCTAAACCCTCCTGGATTACTTCTTTCTATTGTTTTTCTGGGTCAATGATTCCCTGTCTAGGTTTTGCAACATCCTAGAATACCTCTAATGATCAATGGTTGTCAGAAAGTTCTCAGCTCTCAATTTGTATTCGTTAAAAACCAGGGGGGCGTGGGGCTGGGTGGCTCAGTCGGCTGGGCGTCTGACTCTT